CTATTTTATCTTGTGTAGTTTTAGAACTCTGCAGTTATTGACGAATATTTTAATCTATCAGTAACATTTTACGTTGCTGAACTTAAAAATGAATGCTATTTTTTGTTTTGTTTTTGAACGTCTTTGCAAACATATTTTAGCTTACGAAAATCCATTGAACAGAAGAAAAATTCAAAGAAAAATATGGAATCTATGTTTCTATAACCTTTATTATTTTCCCTGAACAAAGTTTTGGGCTTCGTAAAAAAATCTGACACTTGGTGTTTTCTTCCAGCTTCTTTTGTATTAAGTGACAATGGAAGACTATGTAACTACGAATAAACGAGATTGGTTATAGTCGCCGAATCAAATGAATGCTCTTAGTCACAGATCAATTAGTTTAAAATATCAGCTGTGAATAGCATACGCAGACTGAGATATTCATATTCTAAAATATCGATACTTTGTCATTAGACTACACTGTGAAATTTCACCAATACTTGATTTTCTTGTTTCTTCATGAATGAATCGAACTTGACTATTTAAATAAGGAGAAATATTGTTATAACATATAAAAAAGAAATTTGAGAACAATTAAAATTTTTCATTTATTATCTTTTAGTTACAAAAATAATGCCCAACACCTCACAGAATATTTCCAGCTCATATTTTTAATTAGTTGGTTTTTACAGGGAGAGCATTCATTTGATTCAACTATGACGAATCTTCTTAGTTTACAGTACACAATCTTTCACTTTAAGCTATACATTGTGTGTTTTGTCTTTCTTTACTATAAAATACTTTTTTGGAAATAAACTATGAGTCGATAAACAAACAAAAAATGGAAGTATTTTGTACAAATATGGAAACATGATAATAATTCTGAAAAAGTAAAACTTCAATGAGCAAATCTCTAAATGAAAATTCTCTTCTCTTGGCTATACTACAGATTGTCACACTTTTTCTAATCTTCCCAAGCCTTCTTATATCTTGAGAGCGTTATTGCACGAAGAGAATAGAAAGACAAACAGAAGTTCGAATTTTTTTCTAAAATTTGAAGCAAAATAAAGGTATTCATACGCTTTTAAACCATTATTAGTGATTGTTTTAGTTCAAAGAGTGTCTCTATCATAGGCATGTGAGATAACCAGTTATTCACTCATTATAACAGTGTCGATAGCAAATATTGACGAAAGTATAACATTGTAATTTACTCTAATAGACGCAGAAACTGGAGTCAAAGAGGCAAATAAGGTTTAAAGTCATATTTTCATTTGTTTTAGTCTAAATTTTACAAAATTTTCTAGTAAAGCTATCAATAATCGAATTTTTAAAAGCTAAATTTTGCTTCTAACCAGTCAAATATAATAAAACTGTTTCTATCTTAAAAGTCATATGCAGAAAAAACATTCTAAGTAAATGCTAATTTTCTTGAAACTAATAGAAGTCACTTATTTGAAAATAGAATATTCGATTTTCAAATAAAACAAAAAACAAAATTTAATCTTGAAAAATTTTCAATTATTTAAAAAAGAATCTAAGTATTGAAAAAGATTTATTATTCACGAATTATTCAAAACTATTTGTTACAAATAAAATTTTTATCGTTATCATAGACCTGATTTAATTCGTTACTCTTAAACTACTGCCAACCATTATAAAAGAAAGAAAAAGTTCTCAGAATTTTTAAACCTTTTGCAATAGGCGATTAAACTGTATCGAATCATATATAACATCATTTTTGTGATGAGTTCTCACAGTGCTTATCGTGAATTTTTTTAAGAATATCTTTTCTTGCAAAATGAATCGAGGACACTTGTATTAAAAAATTATTTTAAAGAATATTGACACTTTCCTTTTTGAAATGTTTATTAGTTTACAGTTCACTAAATATTGAATAACTATATATATTAACTCTGTATAAATCTATAAATACTAGTTAATATTTATACAGAGAAGAACAAATGTAAATCTATCAAATATTGTTCATGTTACGCATTTTTGACAAGATTATGATAATTTGGGGTAGTATGGTCGTTCTCTTCACACTAATACTCGCATTCACACCCTTCTAGGCAATTTCGACTACGTTGCAATAATATTTGTATTTTATTACAGATGTAGAAATCATAAGTAATTTCATAATAGTCATGATATTTGAATTATTATCAAATGAAATATTAATCAAATGCATTGTTTGTCTCAATACAGTAGACATATTTTATTCATTTGTTCAATTAAGTTCTCGTTTTAATAAATTTTTTTCGAACTATTTCATTATATTTTAATTTTGAAAGTGTTCAAAAGAGAATATTTAATCAATTTTGTTAAAAATGTTATTAAATTCAGAGATTAAAAATCAAATCATTTCATTAAAATTATCAAATAAAAATACATATAATCAAATTTCTGCATTTCTATCATTATTTTCAATTCACAAAATGTTCGGATCTTCAATCATTAGCATTAAATCGAAATTGTGGGTATGGGTGTAAAACTCATTGAAGATATCCACATCCATACTGAACCATGTAAAGGGTGCGGTATAATGAATGCCCGCATTTTGCATTTCATTTGTTCATCATTTAATTCGCTTTATTAAATAACAAAAAAAAGATGTATCAAACAATGTGCCGTGAAAAGTTCTACAATTTAGAAAGAACAATTATAAAAGAAAGAAATAAGAAAAAATGAATTCGTCCTATACCAAAAAGAAGTATGTTTTCTAAGCGTCGAAATTTAGTCGCTTCAAAATTCGTTCATTTCAGAAACAAAAAATGCAAAAATAAAAAGCTTTTCACGCTGCATCGTTTGGTATATCTTGCTTTTTTTTTAAGAAAGTGAATTAAATGATGAAAAAACGAAATACAAAATGGGGCCATTCATTATGATCCATCCGTTATTATCGTAAAAAATAGGATGAAAACCTTTATTGATAAGAGCGTCAAGTTGAAAAGTGGATTCAACAATTGAAGAAGGAGCAAACACAAACACCTGCAGTTGTTCGCAGTGTTAAATGACATTTGATAGATACTTCTCAGTAGTCTAATGTTATTTTTTTTCTTTCTGCAATCATATTACACCCCTTCATTTAATAATAAAAATGCTATTAATGTAATCCTTGTGAAAGTAAAATTTGAAAGACGACCGAATTACTTATTTTGTTAAGGAGGTAAGTTATCAACATAGATCTCGATTTGTGAATTTCTATCTATTACTAAGACATTTCGATGGTGAAATATATTAGTTGTAATATGTTAAAGTGAATTTGATAGAAGAGTAAAAAGTATATATCTTAAATTCAGTCATGTTTGATACTAATCCTACCATAGACTTCGATTTCGCGGTTATGCCTCTCATGGTTTGTAATGAATTATAGTTAAGATGTCTGTTACTCTTGTAGATACGAGAGGGGGTATTGGGTTCAAATTTCTACCCCCATACACTTCGACACTTCTTTTAGATGGTGTTTTACAAAGGTCTTTGAAATATTTTTTATCATTCTCTATACAATGAGGAGTAGAACTATCTTCTACGTAGATTGTTCATTTGGAGTATGATGTAGGCCGTTAGAACAAGTCAATAAGAATCTGTTCAGACAATTTTTGTAGAGCTTTTAATGATGCATCTTTTAAAAAACTTCAAGGTTCAATTTTTTATCTAAGCTGAAATATGTGTAAAATAAAAAACGATTCAAACATTTTGTGACCCCAAATGTACGTGAACGTTAAATAATAAATAAGAGAAAAACAAATGATGTATATATTATTTTGTGTACCATCTTCATAAAAGACATCATATATCAATTGAGATCACAATTTTTTGCGAAAGTGATCCGTTTATTTTTCTGAATATATCTCCGCAAATATTACAATAATCATTAAATTTTTAATTTCAGAAGGATACTATTGAATATTACTAAAATGGTTCGTTTTCATTACTGATTAATAATTATGGTATTACTTGTTCTCACAAATAATCTTGCTACTATCAATGGAGAAATTGCACCCTGCAATTGCAAATCTTTGAATGGATGATGCATCTTGGGAAGCAAAATTAGTGAATGTAATAACCAATGTTTAAGCTGTCAAACCAATTCTGATTGCTGCCTTTCTTGCTGTCCTCCTGTTTGGAGACAAAATCAGCCACCTTGTTGTAATTGTGGCCACAGAGGCTGAAAAGATATATTTTACAAATCTAACGTATTACTGAAAATTTTTAACCACTCCATTTCGAATATCTCCTACTATTATACTTATTACTAATTACTATAAAGAAATCAAAATAACTTTTATAATGATTAATTTATAGTCTTATACTTATTAGTTATAGATCTAGATTTTTAATAAATATTAATACTTAGAAAAGAAAATTCATAAGCAATGAAATCATTTTCAAAGAAAAGATGATATATCATATAATATTATATCAGAGATTTGAAGATGAATAAAATTGCAGTTCTCATATAAGCATAAAAGCTGCCAATAATAAAATAATCCGTTGCAATATAACAATAGAGAGCATGTCGTCACATGGATATTAGACAATCAAAAAAAAAAATCTTTTCTCATCAGAAGATGTGTTTTTTTCATTCGAATACCGAATACGATGCGAACTTAATTAGATTCGTTATAAATGAAAAAAGAAAGATTTTTCGAACAATGAGTTTTATTTTTCTTGTTTATATCTACAAATCTCTTGATTATCTGTATGCTGTACAAAAGCAAGAAGAGAATGCATAATCAATGTAAAGGGTATGAATATGGATGCGTGTAAATGTGAGTGTGTGTAAACAGTTGCTTCAAACTTACACCCTATATTAAAATTCGGTTGATTATTTTTTAATGGAATTTATTTAAAATTAACAATAAAACATGTCGTTTGTTCTTTTTGTGTATTTCACAAATATCTCAAGTGTGTTTACGAGAATTAAATCAGAAAATTTATTCAATGATTATTTTATTAGGTATAGGTTGTGGGTGTGTATATTTAGAGAAGACGTAGTGTCACTTGCATAATCTTTACATTCTCGTTGAATAATTGATTTTTTTTAAATGATTACTCGGATTATCTTTAAATGTAGCTGTATTACATAAAGTGGCACATCGTGCTAATGCATTCCAACAACGAGAATATGCTATATAATTTGATTCTATTTAATTAAAATAAAATATTTGTCTGTTTGTTTTTTGTTTTATATAGTTTTTAAAATGAATCAATTTTACGTGGTTGAAAAGTATCAATATCACAATCAATAATATGATTATTGAACCACACATGTGCAACAGACATTTGATTTTGTGTTAATGTTCCTGTTTTATCAGCACAAATAACTTTTATTGAACCAAGAGTTTCAATAGCTTCCAAATTTTTTATCAAACAATTTTTTCTTGCCATTCATTGAGCAGTCAATGTTAAACAAACCTTTTAATTAATTATTATTAATTTTAGTTGATTTCTTCTTATTTTTAATCAAATTTACTCACAGTCACGGTCGCTATACGAACTAAAAAATACAATTTTATATTTTAATTTGCTACTTTTTTCTTTTTAAAACGAAAATTTCAGGTGCTTGAGCAACAATTATACTGATAAGAAAAATAACACCTTCAATATATGTTTAATCAAGAGAAAGTAAACAAATAGAAAAATAAAACCAACAACAACTGCAATTATTGTTATAAAACAATATTTCAATATTTTATCATCATCAAATTATTTCTAAATAAAAACAATTTCCAAAAACATATAGCTTAAAATCAGTTGAATTCTACTTATTAATACAGACATTTTTATCATTAAAATATAATAAAAAAGAGAAGAATAGAAAATCTATGTAAATGTGAATAGATCACTCCAATATATATTTAGTTGAGTAATTATCTACTGATCAATTATGATTCGATGCACAAAAATTATAGCCCATTTCAGAGTTCAATGGTCGCGCCCATTTTTTGAATACCTTGCGATTGACTCGGCTAAGATCAATGAGCTCGAAATTTCGTTGTTGAAAAGAGTAAGTTCTAAGGTGTCTCTCTTCCCGAAAGATATCATGTCTAAAGACAAATTTTCACGACTATCTCCACATCGGTACCATGTTTTTGCCTATTTTTAGCGATCTTTTTCGATCATTTAACTTTTAATTATACCAAATTGTAGTCCAAATTTTGCTGTAGACGCAATACGAGTAGCACATATCAAAGCTGTCTTCTTGAAAAAAAAAAGATCAAGAAAGTTATATCAACGTGTCATATTTTTACCATGTATACAGCAGAATTCAGGCTACAATTTGGTGTAATCAAAAGTCAGATTATTGCAAAAATTCATTAAAAATAAGAAAGAGAAAAGGTACCGATGTATAGACAGTTGTAAAGATTTGTCTTTAGACTTGATATCATTCGGGAAGATAGACGCTTCGGAGCTTGTTCTTTTCAATAATGAAACTCCAAGCTCGATAGTCTAAGTCGATTGAAAAGTTATTCAAAAAATAGCCACGGCCATTTAACTCTGAAATGAACTATAATCAATCGACTTGTATTGTTAATGTTGATAATTTATTTATCTATGTTTATCATTCCAATTGGAAAACATTTAACTATAATCGACAAATAGATAAAAAATGATAAAAGAAAAAAAAAACGAATGATATTATTTCTGAAGAAATCTTTATACGAATGAAATGGTTTATTTCACTTGCCAAAGGGGTTATTACCAGGTTCAATACTTGAAAATATTTTATTTTTTATTTCCTTTTTTTTTATTTAATATTTAAAAACAAATCCGCTGTTAAATTAGCAATTCGTACAATAAATGTGTTATCACCAGTACGAATAACAAATCCAATACATGAACCTAATATTTTATTTATTTTATATAATAAGAACTCGAAATAAAAGAAAAAGAAAAAGAAAATATCTTCAACAGCAAATGTACCAAAAAAAAGCTAAATTTCTTGTTTCTAATATATAATCATTTGTATATTCAATTCTTCGAGCTTGTGGTTCAGATTAACCTGCTAATGATGAATTATCTACTTTAAGACAATGAACACGAATTATTCGAATATCAGCTGGAATACGATTGTCACAATGAATTTCAACTATATCTTAAGTTTTACTAAAAAACAAAATTATATTTGATTAATTTAATAGATAAAATTTTATTTTTTAGTAAAAAGAAACAAATCTTCAACCACTATAATATCAGAATTTATATTTCTTGACTTTCCATTTCGAACAACACAAGCTTGCTAAAATAGAATAAAAATTTAATTAAAATAATATTTGCCCATAGAACCAAATATTTAAATGATACCATTATTTTAGAGATTTTTGCTTACTGATGATAAGAAAAAAATCCGGTTATTATAATAACACTAGCTAATGCTATTCCTAAGTACATCGACCAAATTTTTTTTTAGAAAAACAAAAATAAACATTAATTATAATTTACAAATTTTATCATATTGTGGATCGTCTAATGTGTATAGTTCAAGTAAATGAGTAAAAAAGCAAATAAAAGCACCAATTCATAGAAGCATTGAAAAATCATCAAACATATTTTTAGCTAAACAAACTATTTCAGGTGTTCTTTGAACTGGTGTTAAATCACTTGGACCTTCATGTTCAAGAAGAACAGATGCTCGTTCTTCTGAGAGAACCTTTAAACATAAAAAAAACAATGATTTTTCAACAAAAAGAAAGAAAAAACTGTTAAATACCATAGTAGGACTTGTTTCACATCTTCGATAAATTTCAATTTTTTTAAATTTTATGTTCATCCTTAAAGATAAATATACTTTATGTTTAACATGAAAATAAAACAATATTAAACAAATCAAATCAATTTCATGTTTAAGAGCTTCTCAATTTTTACGTGTTGTTAGTTTTTCATGAAACTAAAAAATAATTTAAAAAAAATATTTAATTGGAATAATATATCGTTTAAGTATACCATTATCTCAAATAATAATATTTAACTACATAGATATAGTATAAGTTATTTTGTCAGTTTAATAAGAATTAAACTTTCTGAATCATATCTCCTGATGGAATAAGAAAAAAGAAAGTTTTTGATTATTATCTATATGATATGAGTAATTCTATTAATATTGCACCTTTAGAATCATCTGAACACATTCTTTTCTTATCGTTCTTAATAATGAATCGAACGGCATGTTTTCTTTTTCTTCATACGCTAAAATCAACTTTAACAAATAGGTTTTTTTGTTTTGCTTGATCATCATTCTTTTTATATATCGATGTTTCATACATTAGATTTATCGATTATTTTTTCAAATATTTAATCAAATATTCGTTTTTTATTGAATCTTATTGGCCATTTTCAATCGTATCTAGTTTCATTTTTATTAGAAGAACATTATATACGAAAATCCTGATCATAATTATATTTAACAAAGAAATAGAACTTTTCTAGATTCTTTTTCTTACAAATTCTTTGTTGACTCGTTGATCAAATAGAGAAAAAAAAACAAATGCTAATGATACAGATCTATTGCGACTGATGTTTTAAAAAATATCATTCACAATCATTGTTTTTACTGTTCTTTGTACCTAGAAAAGAGAACAAACAAAATAATGGATCACTGACTAAAATCAACAATTAATAATATTCTTTTTCTTCAACTTAACTTTTAACTGGAAGTATTCTGTTCTACAAAATATCGAACAAACATATATTCATTAAAAATAAGTTGAAAATTGTCAACTTTATTAACAAAACTTTTTAGAATTGCTATACACATTGATAGCCAAAACAAATCAAACTTTTATATATTTGACAAGGAATAGAAACAATATAATATAGTAGGAGCCAATTGAATTTCTACTTTTGTTTTTATTAATATACTTTATTTATTTATTAATCTACTATATATAGCATGAAAACCTGAACGCATTGAATATTTTGCTATGTTTATGTTGACCGTTAAATGTTGTTTAAAATATAGAAAGTGGATTAGAAGAAAAACTGAGATTTTTTTTCTTTACATCATGTCCATAATCTTCTAACTTTTTTCATTTCGTATATATCTCGACTGAGGTAAATGATAAAGCTTTGCATTTTTTTTTTGCAAGAGATGAGCCACAAAAAGTTCTAAACCCCTCGAAATGTTAGAAGACTCGGGGTCTTCTATTATTTCCCCTAGAAAGCTATATTTTTCAGCATGTTTCCAACAAATCTTTGTTTAAATTCATTTTTGTTCAATATAATTGTTAGAAAAATAGTATTTTTCTTACTCGACATGTGTATGATGAGAAAGCAACAAATGTTATCCTGTGGAAAAAGATGGTCTACCATTGATAATTAACATTCTTAAAATATTAAAGGCAACATATCCAAACACCTTGGTAAGACGTTCACTAGATTTTTTTTTCTAAAAACTAAGATCTGATATTGACCAAATTGTAACTTCTCAATAACTTAATAACTCACGCAAAGAATTAACTTGTTTTGTCAAACTCAATTAAATTAATTGTTCTTTTTTATTTTTGACTAATATCGATACAATCTGCTCACATGAAAATCTATTAATAGCATGTTTATTAGTCCCAAGTCAACATCAATTAATGCATTTGTATTAAGAATAAGCAATCAATAAGAAAAAGATTAGTTGGATACAAATTTTGTACTTTCTTCTTGACCATTTTTTAAGAATAGCTTCAGGTTTTATTGAAAATAGAAATGCATTCTAAGTCTCATGAGAAGCGCTTAAAAAAACCGACGCATATTTGAGACGAAAATCAAATCGACTGGTCAAACAATCTTATCCGATTGAGTTCGTCTGAGACAAACTGAATCCGATCGAAGATATTGGGGAATTCAGATTTTCTTATTCGTTTCTGTCTGGAGCGTATATACATGAATTCACGTTCTTTTTAATAATAAAAGAATGCTTTTTGATGAGTATGTTTCAGAATTTCTAGAAATCCCAGATAATTAGACTTTTAAATTATTACCCAACAAAGTTTCATCTAATATGCTACTATTTCAGAAAGATCTCTTTATGCGCTACATTCACGGCTCTGCACCGAGCCCATTATTACTTAAGACCATGAGAAGTTTTTTTTTTGTATAGAGAACCGTAAAAATTTCTTCTGAATAGGCTGCAAAAGAGCACTAAAAATATTTCATGATATGTGTTCTATAAAGAAATACATTCTTTACTAAGTAGTTATTTCCGATTCCTTGTTTCGTGAGATTTTTCACTTCGAATTAACGAATTATTTTCATGAAGGAAGTAAAATATTGCTCATACTGACCTAAGATACAATGATGAACTTAAACACTAAAAAAGTTAATAGACTCCAGAGATTATTTGTAAAAAAAAGTCGATTTTATCAACGGGGAGGGCCCTTCTAATATGTATTTTGCTTCAT